CAAACCATGTAAAGAAGATTCATGCTTATAAATACACAACAAAATTTAGCTAAGGATAAGAATCACATTTCTCTCTACACTACATGCATAGTATTATACTAGTAAACCTTACTGTAATAATAATAATTATTATTTACACAGAATGGTATCTCTTGGAAAAATTCACTTACATTAAAACATTAAAGCTCACTACTAAACTAATTTCGTTTTTCATTGATTCCAGTTCCCACCCCCCCACCCCCCCCCGCCTGCTGTCCATCTAGGATGGCCTCAGAAAAGAGAAATGGTGTGAAATATGAAGCTGTTTACTTTGTGTCTTCATAAGACATTCTGGAATGAAATGGGAATTGCTCATTAGAATGCATACATATTTTTAAATAACCTGTGTTTTGCATTTATTCTTTCTGCCTCTGTACCTTACATTACCAACGATAAACAAGAAGAACATGGCATTCAGATTTAGCAATTATATAACTGAGCTGAAAAAAATCTCAACATTTCATTAGGAACTTTGAAAGCTTATAAATCTGCTTGAATTTTCTCCCATTAAAAATTTTGTTAACACAAACTATTGCCCCAAAATGCACTTGATTAACTTTTCTTATTTAAAGGTTTAAAAAAATCATTATTTTTTGATCTTTTGTTTGTTTTTCTTTGCTGTAAGGATTCTAATGTATTTAGAGCACACAATATAATATCCAGGAGGAATCCACCATATCATGTAATTCAATCACACAGATAGGAATTAACCTAGCTAGCATTTGAACTGAGGCATTCCGAATCAATTTGTCAGATCCCTTCTGGTTGAATATAGCAGGAAAATGGCAAAATGGAGTTAAGGAAAAAAGAGAATATATCAGCTAATTGAAATGTTCAGAAGATTTGTTTGTTTGTTTGTTTGGTTGTCTTTTGGGAGGTAGGCATCAAGCATGACTTGAGTTAGGTGTGTGAAGAATATCAAATTTCTTTTCTGTGTTAGCTTCAGCTTTCAGAGATGCTTTCTCTATTTGGTGGAAAATTGTTCACTAGAATTTTGGAGTTTATGCCTCACTGTGTCAAAAAACCTGAGTGGGAGGAGATTCCTTCTTCAGTAGTCATTCTGCAAGCAGTCCTAGAACTGAGTCTAATTGTCTTTGGTTGGTTTGTCTTCATCCCCATGTTTGTCTAGTCAAGGTGGCCATGCTCCACAAGGCCTCTGATGACAAGACCTGAATTATGTCCTGTCAACTAATTCCAGAGGAGTGATCAGCCCAACTAAAATGAGATTGGGAGGATTGGGTTTTCTAAGGAAAATTAAAATGCGGGCAAAAAATAATTTAAAAAGCAAACAACAAATGTCCTCTGCAGACTTAGAATCCAGGACATCAATTCTTGTAACCTTCAAAATGGAACGTTATTACTTTTAAAGCTCAGTGCTGTACCCTGAATCTTATAATCTTCTTAATTGAATGGTTTATCAGACTTATAGCTCCAATGAGAAAGAAAGAGAGAGAGAGAGAGAGAGAAAGAAAGAAAGAGAGAAAGAGAGAGAGAAAAAAGAAAAAGAAAAAGAAAATTAAAGAAGTGTTTCTTTTTTAAGTGAGACTTTACTGTCTCTGTTCAGCCTCATCTCTGTTTCATGCCTTTTGATATCATTCTGGTGTGACCACACTCTACAGAGCAATAAGTTATCAACAGATGTTCCACAATTCATGGTTTTTCACAAAGGTTCTACTACTACTAATTTTTTTGTCTTATATGCCATTCATGTTGGATTCTCCAGACTTCCATTTTGATATGTGTCTAATGCCTATATAAAAGTACTATAATAAGAAATATTTAAAGGTTTCCTACATTTGGCATTGTAACTAGAGTAGTACATTATCAGAGCCTATTGGGAGTTCTAATTAATTGAATTTTTAAGAGGCAGATCCTGAAAGTATAATTTTTTAAAAGTGATTTATTAGATGAGTTCTTAGAAAGAACCCAAAGGAAAATAGGGAAGTCGGGCAGGGAAGAGAAAGTAGCCATGCTCAGTACAGTGTCAAGCAAAGTTCCACAGAAGATAAATTTGGCTCAGTCCTATAGCTCTGGAGAGAATACAGGTCACATTTAGAGTTGTCCCACAACCAGGGACATGGAAGCTGGAGAAGTTATACCCTAGAACCTAGTCAGTGATTGGTTAAGGGCTACTCCTGGGGGCATGTAAATTCCTAGGTACTTTCAGTTCTCTCTTTATGAAGATAAGTTAGCTATAGCAGCTTGAGGACAGTGTCCAAAAAGAGATAACATGTACCGGCTCTTAAGGGTACAAAAGTGCATAAGAATCTGGGACAGAAGAAGAATTAGAAGGAATTTGAGTCTAACACTGACATTTTCTGCTACATTATTCTTCTAAGAAAAGTATATCTATATAGGATACCCCATTTCTCCTATTAACTTTAATGTTGTCACAGAGTTATTTTTCCGTGGAAAAGGTGGAATTCTTCCACCTTCTCCAAAAGGCTGGACTTGTTCTTTTTACACCCACACAATTTGGCCACTTAAAATGGAGATGCACTACTGTAAAGTAACAAATACCTAGGCTGCAAGGGAATGTTCCAGTTAGGTTTGTGCAAAAGTAATTGTACTTTTGCCATGACTTTTGATGGCAAAAAACTGCAATTATTTTTGCCCCAACTTAATACAGTATCTGTGAAGTCAGAATTCTTTTCCAGTAACCTGGAAATCAATCTCAGCTCTGTCTCTTTAGCTTTACGAAAAGTAAGTGAAATTATATGTACATATTATACAGATACAGAGTACCTGGTACTCTGTATTGTACAGGTACTGTTAGTCTGTATAATATAAGGTAGCTATTTGTTGTGATATTATTACAATTATCATAATTGTCAAAATGTTCAATTACTTAGGTATTTAGTTATATAAAAATGACATCTGTCTTCACAATTAATATAGAGAACTAAGATATAGCAGTGGGAAAAATACACAATTTTTACTTCTATTTTGTCTGAATGTTTTAGATTAAAAGCTTTTTCAGTGATATACTTTGCATGTATTTGTCATAAATCTCAGAGATTTGCTGTCATAAAAAGATAATGAATCATGAATTCAGACAAATATTAGAGCTTTTCATTTTCTTTGTAAATTTTTTTTCTTAGAAAATTTTTGTTACACTGGTAATGCATGTGCATTGTAGGGAAATAATGAAAATTAGAAATAAGCAGAAAGGGGAAAATAAAAGATACTTATATCACAACTACCCATAGATAAAAATTTCCCAAGCAATACACAACAACATTTGTATTTTTAATTGAGTAATACCTCACATTCTATAAAATTCACTAGACATTGTGAATATCTATGTGAATAAATTTTCTTCTGGAATTTCATTCTTATTGGTTTGATATGCCCTAAGATGAATGAAAAAGAACATCAGTTATCTGAGGTTAATTGTTACCAAGAATATGCCAATTTATTGAAATGTCAACTTAAATTTGTAGTAAGTGACAAGGCTTTTCAAAAGGACAAAAACTTAGTATACAATAATAATAAGTTTATTTTGTACTTAAGACAATTCAAAATACAAGTTTTCACTGTAGTTGTATGCTAATTCTGAGACAAATAGATGAATCAAACATTGATTTGGGGCACATTTTCTGGCAAATATGTTTGAGCACATCTGATTTTATTCTTGTACTTTATCCTTCATGTACACAGGAGGATCATAATTTTTTCCAATAAAAATGTCTAAGGCTTAATAAGTTTTCTTACTTGAAGCTTCTACTGAGCCATCCCCAACTTTCTGCAGTTGTTTACTGCTCAAACTCTTCAAATCTTTATTTGCCAACTGCTTTGCATGTAATTGGATGAGTCTCCCATATGACTTCTGCTGACCTGAAGAAATTCTGCCTCTTCTTCAAGGTTTACAAATTGACTTTGCAAAATGACTTACTACCATTATTATTAATAATTTGAAATATAATTAGAAAATAATTATTTAAACTATCTGAAAATCTATAAGGGAATGAAGAATGACTTGACAAGAGGAAAGGAGAGATGTTAATGTGAACAGACTGGGAATTCATTTTACATATGATTAGTTTAGTAGTGGATGTTTTCCTTCTGGAACTTTGCTTGCAGCCTGCCTGTTCTTACATTATGCCTTCTAAACCATTAATTTCTAAATCCATTTCTTACTGTTAAACACCTAGTTTCATTTATTATAACATGTGTTTTTGATCCTTTAAAAGATACCCATATTAGACTAAAAATAAATACGAGAAAGCAGACTAAATTCATATTAATAAAGTTACTTTATTTACAAATTCTGTATAACAGGAGACAGTGTGCAATGTAAATCCAGCTCTATTTTGTTATTATTTTTTAAATAGTGTATAAATGAGAACTTTTTTGAGAATCATAGAGCCTATTTACCAATTCATATGGGTCTATTTTATAGTGCTAATTTCCCTGGATAATTTAGCTCACCCATCACATGTCTTCAGTTACCTATTAGTACCAGTTTAGCTCTAGAACACTACATTTTTGCTGTAGAAACTATGAATATATATAAAGCCTGCCTAGTCTTAAATGTCATGTTCTCACAAAGAATTTCCTGACCACTATGATAAACTGACATAATCTTATTACTGTCTCTACACCCTATTTCTTTTAGTTTTTGGTGTTTGCAACTGTATTTGTTTTTATTATTTGTTTATGGTATGTTTTCTCACTAGTCTATGAGCAACATAAGAGCAGAGAACATACCTATTTTATTCATCAGTATTTTCCATCACTGAACATAGCACCATGACTTGCATATGGCAGACACTTAATAAAGTGTTAAATAAATGACTGATTGAGTGAATGGTGAATGATTGCATGATCTAGAAACTAGTCATAATGCAATTGATTATTAGAATATTTTTCTTGAGAGTTATTTGTAAGGATGCTCTTGTTTTATTCTGCTGTCATAAAGACTACACCATCTTCTATTCTAATGAGGTATAACTGTTTAGTCCAGTACCTGATATTAGTTGGAGAAGGTGGGATGGAAGCCCGTTGCCAGGAAAAGTCAAGTACAGCAAAACCCAAGCTATCCTTGAAATACCAAACTTTCAACAAGAAGATGAAGGCTTTTATGAGTGCATTGCAAGCAACCTTCGAGGAAGAAACCTTGCAAAGGGTCAACTCATTTTTTATGGTAAGCTAATTGAATTTCAAATGTAAATAAAATATTTGGTAATGCCCTTCATAATAAACTGTGGAACTCATTAGCATGTTGTGAAAAAGTGTCTTGGGGAAATAAGGAAGGCCTATTTCCAGGTTTAGATGCTTATGCTTAATACAATGATTAGCAAATGGAAATGACCGCCTTTAAAATATGGTTTTAATTTTAGCATGGTCTTTGAATGCTATTGTTTATTATAATTGCCTTGAAAACATCAGCAGTATCCTGTTAGAGCCATAAAAGTTTATAATAAAAGGTAGCATGAACTCTCATATATTTCCCATAACATGTTCTCTAACAGATTATAGCAATCTTAATTCTAATACTAAGTAGAATTTATAAATGAAGGAAAAAATTGATAGGGAAAACATAATACTGCATGGTGGTTTATAATATTTGTTTCTGTTTTTGATATTTTGCCCACCCATAAGTAGATAATGTAAAAATAAGATGATTTCATTATTAAAAATTATGTTTGTCTCAGTTACCAAAATCTCTCATAAACTTCAGTGAGATGATGAATGCATATATTATCTAAATGCTGTCTTTGTGTCTTCTTTCATTCGAGCTTGAAATTTTCTCTTACTTACATTAAATAAACCATAAAATATTCCTTAGAATTTTCAAAATGTGGTGTACTATTAAAATATCTTTAACTTCTTCAGTAAATTCAATATATCTGAATTAGATAACTTTAAAAAAGTATTTATATGTGGCCAAAAATACTTTCCTATGTGACATGTTTATAATCAATGATAAAGTAATTGGAGAAAGTGTGTGTGTGTGTGTGTGTGTGTGTGTGTGTGTGTGTGATAACTAGAAAAATTTCAGATACTGTAATTACTCCATAGGAATGCTGATTGATTGTCCTGTGGGGAGAAAATATTGTATGTCTGTAATATGATTTTCCATTTTCTTTAGAATTTTCAACTTTAACCTGCAATGAAAAGTACTATTTTATATATAGAATATGATTTCCTACTCATTATTCTCCTACAATTTTAGCAAAGCTAGCCAAGAAAATCAATGGTTTTTTTTTCAATAGTATCTACACTTTAAAGGAAAGTCTTTGGAATTTAGCATTCTTTGTAAATAAAATACGGTGCAAATGAGAGTTTTTGGTAGAATTAAGATGTTGAATGCTTTGGCTAGTTTTAAAGACATATTTTCCATTTTTATATTTCATATACAAAGATAGAGCCAAGAGATGAACCAGAACACAAAGGTATCCATCAACTGGAAATCAATAATAAAGTACTTTTCTCTATACTGATATGGCAAATGTGAGCTTACATAGCAATTTTATAAACATTCATTTGTATAATTCTTAATCTTAAGGAGTAGAAATCTTGTGATTAATCTTTAGAGGTAGAAACAATCTGCAGTGATACTATAGACAAAAAATTCTTGAGTTAATTGTGCAAGATATCAGAGATAGTGATTGTCAGGTTCAAGATCAGAACGTTGAAATGCCTTCTGAAACTGGACTCTGTCAGAGCATTTCGACATGGTGGTCTAAATTCATTGCACTGTATCTCATCAAAACCAAATTAGCCATTTAATGAGCCTGAAATGGTCCGTGTGGGTAATAATGGATACCCACAATAACATAATCATTTATGCTTCTTAGTCACCTATTAATTCACTTTCTGAAGTGCTCCCAAAAGAAAAGAGAATTGACTAATTACCTCAGAGTTGAATAATACGTGAGAAATTCAAGAAAAAAATCTCTCAGTCTCAATTATATTGCCATGTTTATGTTATAATTCAGAACCAAGTAATATTATATATCCATATATATTGTACTTTTATAACCTCCAAATGAAATCTCTAAAGTATTATTCATCATAGAAAATAGAACATGTTCAGAAGGGTTAAGTGACTTTTCATAATTAGTCAATATGGCAGAAAAAAATCTAAAACTCAAGCCTGTATGGTAGACCCCAAATCCTAAGCATCTTCTCCCATGAGTTTCCTACCTAGTTGAAAATTTAAAACTTTGCTCTCCAGAATTTTAATCATCCAAAGAATATGCACATTAAATAAATGAATGTGCTCTAAAGTTACAATTATTGCATTAAGTATAAAATCAGATATATCTGAAACCTTTGTAAGCTATGTGAAATTGTATATGAGCATGCATTTCTTTTCCCAGATCAAACATATATTAATTAGGGCAATTTCTAAACAAGTACCTATGAATTACATAATTTTATTAATAATACCCAGAAACCTGATTTGATTTCATCAATACACCCAGTTCTTCTAAGTTTTGCCTTGATTTGTCCCTCAAGGCTTCAGGAAGCATATTCTATAATGGGAAGTTTTCCTGATTTCCACAAGAGGTAATCCTGGGCTTAGTTCCCACCACCCAGAGACATCATGATTGCTTTTAATCATTCATAGGCTCATTGGAGGATCTTCTCTCTTGGTGGGGGCCAGTTTTGCAGTAGAAAAACTCTAGAAGTCAGACAGACTTGGATTTTATATTGTATACAATTTTGACCCCTCTTGGCCTGACATCTTATTACTTGAACCATTTCTACAGTGACCAGTTCAGCACTGTGTTTTGTACGTGTAACCTTAAAGAGTGTTGTCTCAGGTGCCAAACGAAGTACATCTTGTTTCCTGTTCTGGGTTTTCTTTGGCTCCTTCGTGAGCCTACTCAGCTTTAAGCATGGATGTGCCAGTAGTTTACACCTGTGCTACCCTTAGATGACCCTGAATGGGAACTAGTGAATAAATGATTCCCTTTCCTTTCGCTGGTTAGACAGATCATAAAGACTCCTTAGAAGTTGGCATGAGATAGAGCAAAATGGATCATGTTGGTTGTCAACTCAATAACTCATCCTTGCATTGACATTTTTTTTTACTTTCCTGTGACTACCTCTTTTCCTGATATATTTCCCTTGGGCTAGCATTCTCAAATAAACACGTGGAACTCAAGCCTTTTACTCAGGTTCTGCTTTTAGGGTTCAAATTCTGGTTTCCTTGTTTTCTACCATGTGATCTTGTACAGGTTACCTAACATCTTTGCAAGAATCCGCTGAAAAGACTGTACAGAGAATTAAGTGCAATTACAAATATAAAGCATGGGGCTTGCCACAGCCTGAGAGTCCAAGGGAATCATCATATACTTCTGTATATCCAAGGAAATAACTAAAGGAGAGAGATTAATTGGCACCTCTAGGCAGTTTCTAGTCAGCTCATGAAAGAGATATTCATGTTAAAACATTTAATTTCCAACTAGCCTGTTTCCATAAATAATGGTAAAAATAACAATCTTTCTTTCTTTCTTTTTTTTTTTTTTTGAGACGGAGTTTCACTCTTGTTATCCAGGCTGGAGTGCAATGGTGCAATCTCGGCTCACCGCAACCTCCACCTCCTGGGTTCAGGCAATTCTCCTGCCTCAGCCTCCTGAGTAGCTGGGATTACAGGCACACGCCACCATGCCCAGCTAATTTTTTGTATTTTTAGTAGAGACGGGGTTTCACCATGTTGACCAGGATGGTCTCGATCACTTGACCTTGTGATCCACCCGCCTCGGCCTCCCAAAGTGCTGGGATTACAGGCTTGAGCCACCGCGCCCGGCGCACAATCTTACTTTCCCATTAATTTTGCCAGTTGCTTGTTGCTTTAGTACTGTGAAGAAATTTCTCAAATTAGAGAAAATTTGGAAAACTCCCACCCAGGATTAAAGTAAGATACTGAACCTGTATACAACTCCAAATGTTCTCATTTCTTGTCAAGAGTTTTATCTAGAAAAAAAGAATATTGGGTTATCTTTCTACCAAAATATGAGGAGGCTTCTGTTTGATTTATGCTTCAAGGTATTGACTGAGTTGTAGGTGTTTCTGATATAGGTACAGATTTATTGCTTTTAGTTTAGAACAAATATAATCAGTGAACTTTCAGATTTATTACACAGGTTCATATTTTATATACATTTTCTAACTTGATCTACGTTCTAATATTTAGCATGGACTTATTCCTTGGCCTTTTCTACATTTTGACTTTTTCACACAGCTCCCAAGTTGTTATACAGGTGCAGCAAAATGACAAATGAGAAACATTTAACTTGAGCCAGATGCCCAATGATACTTGCAGCAGGATTTCTGTCACCCCACATTGAAGCTCCTGCATTTCCCCTCCCTCAAATTAAGTGTGTGAAATCCACCTGGACCCCGTTAGCCTTGTCCTTCTGATCTGTACAGCCCCTGGAATGTTGCATACTGTCTTGGATAATTGCCTTACCAAACAGTTGCACTTGCCTTTTTGAAACAGCTCCTCCAGAATGGGAACAGAAAATCCAGAATACATACCTCTCCATCTATGACAGCTTGCTTTGGGAATGTAAAGCTAGTGGAAAGCCAAACCCTTGGTACACGTGGTTAAAAAACGGTGAACGACTCAACCCAGAGGTAAGAAACTTGTTGATATTAAAAGTTTACCTACTCTACTAAGTAAATATTATTACTAGCAGTACTAGTAGCTAACAGAAACAGCTACTGTTAAGGGAGTCTTCAGTATGTTCCAGGAAAGGAAGCATACATGGATTTATTTAATCCTTAAATAAACTTGCAAAGTAACCCACCTTTCAAATGAGAAAAATAGGTATAGAGAAGACAAATAACTTTCACAAGATCACACAGCTAGTCATTCATATTTGAATATCATCGTTGTCATTGTTGTCACTGACACAGATAACATTTATTGAACTCTCATATGAGCCAAGCCCTGTGTTAAATATTTTTCCATGCATTATCTTATTGCATCCTCCCAAAAGTCTTATGAGAGAAATACAATTATTATTCCATTATGTAGTTAAAGAAAATGAGTTTCAAAGCGGTTAGGCTACTTGTTTAAGGTCACACAGCACCTAGTAAATGTTGTAATTAGCATTTTAAACTATTTTGGTCTGATACCAAGACCAAATTTCTTAGTCACTACCCAACATCTTGGTTTTATGAAAACTGATGACTGTCTTTAAACCCCGAGGAAAGTAAAGAACTAAAGCAGTTATCCACATTTCTCAATTTAAAGCATACTTTCTTCTACAATACCGAGAAAATGAGTTTTTAAAATCTATTACATTATCCAGATAATTGTGTTAATTCTTCATTTCACTTTGCACATGTAAGAATAGCCAGAGACACAAAGAACATCTGTTGTTTGTAAGCGGAATATAATGCTGTTCTTTGTTTCAGCATCAGTGGAATTTTCTTCCTGCAAGCCTTTTGCATATAACATTGTTTCCTCCAGCCTACTTTCTGCTTCCCTAGAGGATGGTAATACGTACCTTGAAGTATTTAGTCTTAAGTTATATATGTACTACCATGTCATTATGTGCACTTTTATGCACTCAAAGTTGTATTTCTATACCCTAAATAGTGTTCTGTAACAGATTTGGGCTGTTTAGGCACACTTTATAGTAGGCTATATAAAGGAAGGATTTAGCTCCTCCAACTTAGGACTCAATTAGAAAATTATCACATCGTTACATTTCAGATGTTTTTGAAACTTTTGGAAAATTGAAAGCCAAGGCAATGTTCTAGTCATCAGATGCATATCTAATGTTACTGTTAGTCATTTTTTTGTGGAATAATTTGGATGGTGGAGTATTCTAAATTATTGTGTATGCCAAATAACAGGAAGTTAACATACATTTTTGTGCAAAGCATGCCAATTGTCAAATAAATGAGATAACATAAAACATACTACTAACCACTAATATTATCCTAAACATACTTTCATTTTTTAAACTTAGACATGCTTCTCAGGATCTAGTAGTATATTCATATACCAAAGTATCAGATCTCATAGATACACACAAATGTTGTTTAATAACATATCCTGGTTAAGAGAATGCTGCATTAACAGATTAGCATCTTTGTATACCTTTTCCTTTATTAGGAGAGAATTCAAATAGAAAATGGGACACTCATCATAACGATGTTGAATGTGTCGGATTCTGGTGTCTACCAATGTGCTGCAGAAAACAAATATCAGATAATTTATGCAAATGCTGAATTGAGAGTTTTAGGTAAGTCATTCATTTGCAACCAGCAAATTCAAAATGACATTTTAGCAAGCTATAATTATACATAATCTGAACTCATTTTTTTTTTTGTAAATTAGCAATTGCCGTCTCATTAAATAATGGGAAATGTCTAAATCAGCCTTTTACAAAATTTAAGGTGGTGATTATTATTCTGCTTGGGCAGTGCACTGGGGCTTGAGAAAAAAACCCACCACTGAGTGCATTCAAACCAGAAGAAGCTCTTCCAAAGCTGATTCTAGTATGAATTATTGAGTATCACTCAAAAAATATCTATTAGGAATATTTTCAGCTGCGAATTAAAAAGTAATAAAACTTATCATGATTCACAGTGACTAAAAGAAACAGTGTTTTATTTATCTCTTAACAAGAGGGGCATTGGCTGCTGGGTATGGCACCTCAACTTGACACTGTTATTCTTTATAGCTTCCCTTCATGATGAAAGCATCGTGGTTTAAAGATGGCTGCTGTAGTTACAGAAATCAAGTGTATGCTCAAGGCAGAAGAAGAGGGAGGTTACAGAATTTATCACATTTGTCTGTTTTATTAGAAAAGCAGAATTTCCCTTAGCTTCCACAGCAAACTTTTCTTTATGTCATTAACTAGAGCTCTGTCACATGACCATCTAGACATCAAGAGGAGTTAGAAAGATAAGTCCCTATATTGGAAAGTGCTGAGATTAAAGCAATTTGAAAATGATATTTTGGGAAATCCAGCCAGTGGTGTCTGCCACAATAAATGACTCACTGATAGCTTTCAACCCAAGGCTTTCTTAGTGGTAGAAAGAACAAAGGAGATAAAAGAAAGGAAGGATCAAATAACAAGACACAAAGTTTCATGAGCTTATGGGTGATGAGCACTCATTCATTTGTTCATTCTTTCTATCACAGTTGTTTGATTGAATATTTATTATGTACTGAGCCGTAGCAAAATGAAGTGACCTTTATCTTCACGGAACCTATAATTTGAAGGAGCAAAATAATGTTGGATTTAAAATATGGCAGTTCTTATGGCTAAGAATTGAGTAGTCGCTATCATCGCACATGATGAATTGAACATAACCTAAATTGAGGACATTCCCTTTAATCTAAGATCACAAGTAAAAATGTACACCAGTCAAGTAAAGGGCAGAGAAGCAATATCTGAAAAGCTCAGAAGCAAGAGAGCAAGGCATATCTAAAAGAACTTCAGTTCACTTGAGCTTTAGATTAAAAATGGTGATTGAACACATGGATTCCAACATTCATGAAGTTGGAAAGATTTAGATGCACCCCAATAGCCTAATAATTTCTTGTCCTTGGGAACTGGCATTTGTTTAACATATTTAGTGAGGGAAAAGCCAACATAATGATATAGTATTTCTGATTTATTTCAATGGTATTTTATTGCTAATAGCAAAAAGTTTTCTGATTTACTTCAGTGCTAACTGCAATAGAATACAACTGAAATAAATCAGAAACACACATACACACACACACACACATATATATAAATACATGAATATATATATACACGTATGTATATATATATGTATATGTATGTATATGATATATATGATCTTTTTTTTTGGCTGAAATAGACTTTCCTGGTCAGGATTAAAATCCTTCTTCAGTCTATTTATCTTCTTTGTTGTAAATGCTATCAGAAAAGTGACTTTGTCTAACTTTCATCTGCCCTACCAACTTGCTTTTGTTATTGCAATGGCCACCAACAAAACAAAAATAAGTTAGTTTTTGAGCCCATATTTTGTGCCAAACACTATACTATAGTCCCTTGCAGCTGTTATGTCATTTAATCCCCACACTATCTTCCTAAGGTAATGTCTATTGTTATCTTCATTTTACAAACTAAACATAAGCTCTAAAATGTTAAGTCAGTATTTGGTCCCAGAATACCTTGAGCAAAGTAACTTGAAAAGAGGTTACAACTATAAATATTAGATTCTGTCTAGCATAGCAAGTCACTCCTTAAGTCACTACATGTTAATTGAGTAATTAAAAATTTTTTTTTAATTTGTTTTTAGCCTCAGCTCCAGATTTCTCCAAAAGTCCTGTTAAGAAAAATTCATTTGTTCAAGTTGGTGGGGATATTGTTATCGAATGCAAACCAAATGCTTTTCCCAGGGCAGCTATCTCTTGGAAAAGAGGAATGGAGACCCTTAGACAAAGCAAAAGGTAAATTAATTTTAAAAAAAAAATATTTTAAAGTGTTTATAATACAATATCTTGCAAATTTTTAGGTTTTAGTAGCCCTTTCAAAATTTCCTCTTTTGTGATAAACATTTCAGTGGCATATCCAGAGATGCCAACATTCTTCTCATGATAGTAAAAAACAAAAAGATCTGATAAAATGAAGACCTGTTTGTATGAATTAGCTGCAGTATTTTCAGTGAATGCACTTGTAATAGATAGATTTTTAAAAATCTTTTAAGACCTTTTTCTACATTCAGTTTGAAGGCTTTTTCCCTACCCGGCCTGCTGAGAAATCAGTGCAAAGAACATTTCACAAAGGAGAGACACTCATTGGCACACACCTGGTGTTGTGGTTTTTAAATAGTCACACAGGTGTTCACACCATGACAAAATGAATTCACCACATGAAGAAATGTAGAGAGTTTCCTGTAGAGAAGGAAGAGAGGTTTCCTTCCATAACGGATGCAGTTGCAAAACCCTAGATCAGCACTGGCATGTTTTCTAGGAGACTTTGACAGAAAAAAAAACAGATGTTTTTCTCTACTTTGTAATACATTTTATTCTATTGTACTGAAGAGCCTTGTATACATGAAGTGAGTAGACTACAGATGCTGCTGTCTTTAATGACTCACGCATGTTACTATATAATCAGATATGCAATTAAATCCTAATGTGAATGAGCCAATGTGCTAAAGATATGAAAATAGTCCCTTTAGTTCAATGAGCTCTTCATCAGCATCATATGTTCCATGACTTAATGCTTACCAGGACAGGCAGGTAAAAGGCCAGGTGAAAGAAAGGACAACTAAAGTGTGTTAAAAAATGATAATCGTTAGTCTTGGAAGAAATGACTGTGAAGGACTAGAAAGTGAGTTCTATACCCAAAAGGGATAGTCACAACTCCAAATTCTGTCAACTGTTGCCTTGTGGGAAAATAGAACTAGGTTTGTAGAACTTCCAATGTTTCAGAGAAACCTGGAAATCTGCATTCTGGTATTGAATCTCCCGTGCCAGAAAAGTGGCCATAGGCTGGATGTGGGGACACGATTTTATCACTTCTAATCCCAGTATTTCATTTGTGGCCACAGAAAAAAGATAAGAGGTTAAAACAAACAAAAATCCAGGGGTTTCTGTGGTTTGTGTAAAGTCCCATTGTAGTTATAACTGCTGCCTTGAAGACTCTTTCCATTTATGATGATGTGTTCCATTAATGAGGTATATACCAGAGAGCCCCTTCTAGGGCATTCTGTCTACCCTTATTCTATAAACTTCTTTACATCCCTGGACTAAAGCTTTTCCCAGGACAGGAATTATGTCAAATTTATCTTCGTATGTCCTGTACCTTAACACAGAACCAAAATTAATAAATATCTGTGGAATGAATGAATGAGTCAAAAAAGACTAATATTTAAGGTGTTGCCAGCTTTAGAGAAAGGTTGTTCTTGGGGAAATGCCTCAAGACTTAAGAACAGCTGCTTCAGAACTAAGCTGAAAGAAAAGGTGAAAGGAAACATGTTCCCTGACTCAGTTTGGGTCTCTTCTGTGTGCATTTCCTGGGATATTTTCTCCCCAAAGATTTAGATGTGAATTCTTCTTAAATGTTTCCTCCTTTGTTCCTAAAATCGAATCAAGGTTTGAATATATGGCTGTGAAACAGAAAAACATAAGAGACCCTGCAGTATCAAACACAGCACCCTGTTCTAAGGCTCTGGACAAATTGATTAACAGTGCCTCATTTAATAAAGTAACTCACCAAAAGATCAGAATGATGACATTTACCTTCCACAAGTTGTAAAGGCCCAAAGGCAAAGTATGTGGGGAGGAGAAAAAAAAGGAAGAGGAAGGATCTGAATAAAGCTAAGATAAAGAGAGAGAGAGAAAAAAGCACAAATAAAACTGTTTTTTAAAATAACTTTTCAGGTTTTTGTTTTATTTTATTTTGCCCCCTTTGGAAAAATTTGGGGGTCATTTTAGCCCCAGCACAGTACCAATAGTCATATCAGTTCAGCATTGTCTCTCTGTGATTAAGGGAATGAGCACTGTGATTTCTGTTTATAGATTATTCTTTCATTCTATCCTTTCATTGCTTTAGGATTTCACTGCAGGTCTTAATAAAAGAAAACATACATACAAACAAACAAACAAATTATCTCTTGAATGTGCATTCTTAAATGCTGAAAATAATTGAGCTCCAGCAGAATGTAGTAATTATAGTCGCAATATCTCTGCATGGTATAGATTACATTGATCAGTAATTTTGAAAAGGTCACACAGTCAACTCCATAAGTCTATGTCCCTGCACACTTCCTAGCCTGTCCCTTCTTCTGATGCCATCAATCTGCCTGGTTTTATTAAGTGCATGGCTTCAAGCTGTTTGTTGAGAAATACAGCATCTATGCTTCTGTTTGTGTTGGCCTATTGGCTTTTTTGCAGTCTTATCACAGGACTTCCAGAAAGATTGAAGTAACAAATTAGAGTAGTGGTAAAAAAAAATAAAGAGAGGAGGGAAGGAAGGAAGGAAGGAAGGAAGGAAGGAAGGAAGGAAGGAAGGAAGGAAGGAAGGAAGGAAGGAAGGAAGGAAGGAAGGGAGGGAGGGAGGAAAGAGGGGGAAAGAAAGAGAGAGAGGAAGGAGGAAGGACAAGAAGGGGCACTGCTGTTTACTAGAGATGTAGTGTGGTATACTAAAAGGATTTCAGGCCCTACCCTATTGAGTGCATAACTTTGGGCAAGTCATTTGTCTTCCAAAGACTTTCATATATAAAATTAATTAGAAGTACTTCATTTTCCCAAAAGAGGAAAGTCAAACGGTTTCTTCAAGCTTGTTCAGGCCCAAGGTTGATAATTTCTTCTTCATCTTTGGTTTGAACCATTACATGGTAGCCAAATTCTTTTTTCCCTGATCAGAACTCACTCTTCTTTTTCAAAAGAGTGTTGACAGAACAGATCCTAAATCCGAGCCAAGTAATTACATTTAGCTTTCAAATTGTCATGACGCTGGAGAAGATAATATTAAAGAACGCTTTGGAGAAGACAATATTACAGTAGTAGTTAATTTCACAAAATATTTTTTTCTTACATTTGAACACATAAATAAAATTTATTTAATTGAGTATATATGTATTCATGTGGGTGGGGTGTGGGTAGATGGATATTTAGGAATTGGCATCAGATTTCCAAAGCAAAGGAAGTTAAATATATTAGGAGCCAGGGACAGAGTATTGGGCATAAAGGTTGACTTTGCAATTAATTTTTAGATTTGATTGCAAATGCAAGGTTTATTGCATGTGTACATACACTATTCGTGCTGTATTTGAAAGGAGCACTAGAGATAATCTGGCCTATTTTCTGAAATTACAGTACCAGATCCTAAACTCAAACACAGAATACTGAGCCCAGGACACATTTTTTAATGCCATACCAGGCTAATTATTTCACTTAAATAGCCATGTATATAACATATATAACTTCTACCATCTCATACCTCTGCTAAAGTATGACAGAGTTGTATATGTAGGAAGAATAAGAGTCAGATAAAGGAAAAAAAAGTTCAAATTTTTACAATGATTCCGAGTAGAAATAATTTCTGGTTCTTCACCTTGGAAATACCTATGTGAGGAAATGTACATTTTTAGTTTCTGTTATAAAACTTCTATGTGGTACTGTCTACTTTGAAATTTCATTGTCACTAACTCTTGCAGCCAATAAAGTATAACTACCTTGAGATGGTTAAGAGGGCTCTAAAGAAGCCTATTCAGAGTAATCAGACTGAATTGCTGACTTATAAAAAATGGCAGCAGTATATATATTTTGACAATTTCTTCTAGTCTTATATGAATTGAAACAGCTTCCATCACACAGCTAGTAAGTGAAGAAGCTTAGATCTTGGTGCCAAGTCTTCCATCTCTGTATTCACATCTTTTCCTTTCTGTGGTTAATGGAGAACACACACATTCTTCAGTTTTTGAAATGCTGTTGTCACATGATTTGAGGTAATTTGATGTGTTGCTAATTCAGATTAAGTAACATTTCCCAATACAGTGAACATGTTTATTATTATTAGTCTATGTGCTGTAATTGAATTCTTCGGTGTTTTAAGAGTTCTATTCCTAAAACAAGGATCTATATTCATAGCAGCCTGTCAGAGGAGAAAAGTATTTCTTGCACTAAAAATCGGTAGATGGCCTTACAAAGTCCAAAGGCTGCCTGCTTTCCTGCTAGTAATGAATGGTCATGCAACATCTGTCTCAGGCCTACCAGTGGTTTAGAAATAGCACTTATATTGAAGAGAAGCAAAGGGAATATTCCTGCAGGAGAAACCAGGAAGCACTGGGAATTAGAAAACAGAGGTTGTAGTCCTAGATCCATCACTGATAAGTGGTATGACCTTGAATAGAAATGCTAGACTCCTATTTTTTTTTTTGAGGCCACTGTTTCCTGGATTTATCTTAAGATGAAATAATATGAAAACAATTTTAAGAAATATTAAACACTATATTCATATGTTGTACTGGACCGAGCATAGAAAGTCAACTCCCAGACAAAAGTATGCCAAATTGCAGGGTTTATTGTGCCGGCAGCCATGAAGGACTCGCGTCTCTCCAACCCGTGGTGTTGAAAGGAGAGTTCCAATGCTTTTTATACCCAAAAAGCCACCTTGGGAGTGGGGGTGAAGAGCCGGGATGGGGCTTCAGACATTCTGAGGGCTAGTGGATTCTGTAACTCATCTCCTGGGCGGAGACGGGGGATCTGGACATTCCGAGGGCTCGGGGACTTTTGTCATTCCGTTTAAGTGGTTTACAGAAGTCAAGATAAACATTAGTTTATACATTATCTGGGTAGGGTGGAATTCACAGACCCGAGTTACTTATTACAAGTCGCAGGAGCCAGGATGGAATTAGGTGGGGATGCTTATTATGGTTATTACCAATAGTCAAAAGGCTAGCAACTCTGGCAGTCTCCGATAAGTGTTTTTACCCCTTTGC